TCCCACAGTTTGGATAATATCAACGAGTTAAGTATAGTCGCATGCCCACGGATCGATTGCTGGCGATGTGAATGGAGCTGAAAAGCTGCACGGATCTTGATTAGGATCTCTTCGAGAAAGACTTGTAGTTGATTGGCAGATGAAGCGATTGGATAACCCAAATAGATCACAGGGTGGTCATCAGCGTGCGTGTGGCATGGTGGGTATCCAGCAGCCTCAAGGATAGGTGTCCATGATGGTAGCGGTCGGCCACACAAAGAAATGGCTTGCGTTTTGTGGGTATTCATGCGTGCATTAGATGCGGTTTGGTAGTGATGCAGGTGGAGACGTAAGCGGTCCAGATCCTATGGTGTCGCTAGGAAAACACAAACATCATCGGCATATGCTAACACTTTGAGGGGGTCGGGTGGCGGGATGCTGGTGGTAGTTGGGCTATACACTGGTTGGTAGCTGCGGAAGGACTAATCGTAGATGATGCGGCGAAGCAGAGGTTCTGGTGCAAGGTTAAATAGGATAGGAGACAGTGGATCGCCTTGTCGTAGTCCTCTTTCTTGTGTAAACGGTGCTGTCAGATGGCCATTTATGTTAAGATGAATATTTGTTGAGAAAAATAAGTTGCAAATCGAATGGATAATCATATCAGGAAAACCAAAGTGGGCCAAGACTTCGCGGAGATACTGAGGATTAACACGATCGTAGGATTTTTCGGCATCTAATAGTAAAGCGATGTGATTGCTTGATGGATCTGCGCGCGCTTGTTCTATTGCCAGTTTAACCAACATATCATTGGTGGCTATGAACCGGCCAGGCAAGAATTCAGTTTGGAATAAATTGATGACTGGATCAGCCGCTTGAATAAGGCGCACGTTCAATAGCCGAGTGAATATTTTTGCATCTGTATTAATCAGGGAGATCGGTCGCTAGTTGTGTAACGACGTCAGGTCGCCCTTCTTAGCAAGGAGGGTAACAGAGGTGGCGCACCAAGAGTCGGGGTAAACGCCCTCCTTGAGCGGGGCATTGTAGATCGAACAGGCTAATGCTTGGTATTCAGGATGTTGAAATACCAAATACTAGATCGTATAAGGGAGGCCATCCAAACCGGGGCTACTGTTACTCGGTGCACGCTTAGCACCCTTGACTAGATCGTCGATGGTGAGTTCTGAAGTGAGCATCTTGCAATCGTCGTGACTGATGGTACATGTTGCGGGAATAGCGTCAGTGAGGTAGGCCATAGAATCTGGATTCACTGGATCAGCGGTATACAGGTCGTGGTAAAAGGCCTTGGCCGCCTCTTAGATATCACTGGTGCTGGTGGCGAGGACACTAGTGTGAGGGTGTTGAAGTGCATTGATAAGACGTTGGGCTTATCGAGTTGTCGCCGTACGCTTCAAATACCCAGCGGATACTTCCCCTTATTCGCACCAGTGTATATTGGCGCGAAGTGCAGCGGTATCTACCATTTCTTGTTGGAGTATATCAATCTGGCGTTCTACCCTCGGTAGTTGGATAGTAAGGATGCCTGGGGGTGGATTGGTCCGAAGCAGTCGATTGCGTTTTTGTTGTAGGGCTTTGAGTTGTTGAACTCGCCAATTTGCTCGCTTACGGCCGAACTGTTGCATAAAAGTCTTCAGCTCAGTCTTTAGTTAGTCCCATTGTTGCTGAAGCGGCTCAGGGTCGCGTAAGTGGGGACGGAAGTTGGTCAACATTGCAGCCAGATCTTGACGGAATTCTTTGATCTGAGTAAAGTTGGGATTACCACGCCAATAGCCTTTTCCTCGTGGAGAGTCGCCGAGATGGATGAAAGCTGTCAGCAAACTATGGTCTGTCCAGGCTCTAAAGAGTTTTTGAACATCAGCTCGTGCGAGATTTGGATGTAATGTATGTGTTGCAAAGATAAAATCTAATGTGGAATGATACAGATCACTGTGACAGAAGGTGGGCAAAGGTGATGCCGCTTCCCTGTCCGTGATACAATCTATAAAGTTGGTTTGGAGTAGAGCGCGCCATGCAGATGGTACTCGATTTTGATGTTCGGCTCGGTGATAATTGTAATTAAAATCGCCAGCGATGATAAGGCGATTAGCATATGGGCTGTCGGAGGAGTTGAAGATTGGTAAGGCCAATACTGTTTCATAGAAGACATGTCGTTCCCATAGTGACGATGTTGTGGGTGCGTAGATGACGAGAAAGTAGAAAGATGTAAAGGTGTTTGTTGATGATTGTATGTAGGCGAAAATGATGCAGTCAGTGTTGTCCGCTAGATCGATATCGATTTTTGTGAGTGATATATCTGATGAAAGTGATATAAGGCCACAACTAGTCGTCCAAAGACTAGCAGCAGGTTGAAATTGGGTGTCGAAGGAGTGAGCAATGTCCTCGGTGGAGGCGTTGGTTTCTTGTAGTGAGAGAAAGTGTGGTTGTAGCTGCCGTAGGTAGCGAATAAGCAAGGACCGAGCGGCAGCGTTGTTGGTTTTTCGAAGACTGTTGCAATTTAAAGAGCACACTTTGAGAATATTGTCGGATATCATGATAATAATTAATTTTGATATGTATTTTTGGGGGTCATCTCCGTGTGGTTGGATGATGACCTAGTCGCACTGTGTTTAGCTTTTTCAGTCAGTTTGACACGTCAGCCACTCTGGGTACGGATTGGTTCGCCTTCACTTTCTTCTTCTAGGGCTGGAGGGTTTTCTACGTCTGGGAAGCAGAGGCGCAGTATCATAGCAGCGAGCTGTTGTTCTTCTTTAGGAAGTCGCATCAGGTGAGTGCGGTTTCCATCTGTGAGCAGGTAGCTGTAGTGCCAGTCTGGAGACAGTTCGGTGTTTTCAGCCAATTTTAGGACGTGTTGGAAGCTGGCGGGTGCAGTCTCTTTCTCAGCGAAGACTGAAGTGAGTGCTGTAGCCACGGATTCGAGAGTGGCAGTTGGACGATCGGTGGTATCATCGGTTTCAAGCTGTCGTGCAATGGCCATCTCGATATCGTCAGTCATTATGCTGGATGTGGAGGAGCGGCAATCATCTGAGGTATCAAAGTCATTATCGTCGTCGTCTGGTGGCTTTCCTGTCGAAACCAGCGTTCCTTGTGTTTCAACGTGGCTCGTGGAAGTTTCCTTACTCGTGTTGGCCTCCTCAGTACTTGGTGTCACAACAAGCGAATGGCTGTTAAGGCCTGCTGTTCCTGGTGTGGAGAGTCCCTGATTGGTACTGTTACGAACTCTACGTCTCTTAGACGCGTTAGCGCCTTTGGTGCCTTGAACATGGTCTTGACCTTCTGGGCAATTCACGGATATGTGGCCTACTTTACCACACGTCCAACAAGTGCGGTAGTTGCGAGGGTTCGATGGGCATAGGCAGACATGATGATCTGGCTTGTGGCACCTAGCACAGTGTAACGGCATGGCAGCCCATGTTGCATAGAAATAATCGTCAGTAGTAAGCCACGAAATTATGTGCGACATATCGCTAAAAGGCTGAGCATTTTCAATGACTTGGCGATCGAGCACAGCAAAACCATTTCCCATAAATAAGCTGGAGGTAGCGTCACGGTATATGCCACAGTCCAGCACTCGGCCATAAACGTTCATGCTACTAGTGATACCTTCAAGTAGCTTTGTCGGATTCATATAAGGCAGTTTGGATAAACGCACCTTAGTAACTTTCGCATCAGAAGAGAGAGTGAGACACAGCTTGATGACTACGCCGTTTTTAAAAGTTACACCTGTTGCAAGAGCCTCCTAGATTTCTTTGTCGGCTTCAAAAAACAGTTCGACGAGCATGCGAGGTCCTTCGCATACTGGTTGCCCCCTGCAATTGAAGGCGAATTTGCGAGCAATAAAGGTCAGCAGCTTGCCCAGTAGCTCGGTGCGACTGCTCAGATCGAAGAAAACACTCATCGCGGACGCAGGGGAGCCACCCACTCGGTAGATGTTCGAGTAAATGATTTTGGTCGTTTTCTGTGCATCGGTATCATCAGGTGTGATGATAGTTTCTTATTCGCGGCGCATCAATGATTGTCGATGCTTTTGTGCCACTCGCGCATATGAGAGGCGAGGCACAGAAAGTGGTTGATGTTGAGGGGAAGGGGGTGGTTGAGTGCCAGAGCCATGGTCTGGCATTTCGTAAGAGGGAGCGGAAGAAGCCATGGCTGCGATGCAAGAGCTCTTTGGCGCTACTTAGTTTTCTGCTTTGGATCGACTCCGAAGGGAGCTCAAACGAGCTTGGGATAACTGCAATAAATACCAACTTGACTCTTAAGACTGCTGGTGTGGTACCACACTAAGCTATGGACTGCTGTGTCAACATAATATCACACGAAAGGGTTCAGTATAAGCTTGTCGGATATCCCTGATCGATGACGTTTGGAATATAACAGAGGTATAACATTCTGCTATAGTAATACTGTGATTGTACTATGTGCCTGTAATATACCTTATATTCTAATATAAAAGCTATTTATCCACAGATAGCTTCCAAAAGGTGTATACTCCTGAAGCAATTGTATTAGAGCAACAGAACATGGTACTGCAGAAGCTGCATGATGTACTCTACAATTTGCAGTCGCATCAGCAAAAGTCTGATTTACTTAGTAGTATCGACGAATATACAATAGGTATCGACATTAGCAACATCGAATTACCAAGCAATGTGAAGACGAAAGGACGCCCTGCTAACACAAAAAATGCACGATTACTGTCAAAGTTCGAACTCGATGAAAAGGATAGCCAGCAACGCTTTCAGAGAAGAAATGCCCATGAGTCAGAGGAACTCTCCAAAGGCAGCAACAGAGAGGATGATAACATCTACATTTCTCCTCAACAAGGGAAAAGAAAGGATCCAGAGATGAACTTCCTTGAAAGCATGAACAAAAGGTACGTGCTCTCCTAATAAATTCTAGCTAACAAATACTTTGCAGCTATCATAGATTTATAGATAAACTAAGTTGATAAACTATCACTATGGGAAAATTGTCTCTGAAAAACATCCAGCTGCCATTCAATAAATCTAGATTGTCGATATATCTCCAAAAAACATCCAGAACATCTATAAATCGAAAATTATAAAATTAACCTTTTATTGAGTCAATACAATCGATGTCTCCTCGTATACAGCATCCTTAAATCAGGACTAATTCTTATTAGATATTAGATTTTGTAAAGTGGTGTTACGGTGAATTAGGAGTATTCCAGGTAGTTGCGTAACGGTTTAAGTGTATGTTTTGTAGTGAGCACCAGTAATAATATCGCTTATTACAGACGGGTTGTGAAGTGATATGAGTGTAAAGTAAAGTAAAAATGTGTATGGTTTATGTCCAAGGGTGTAAATGGTAGTGAGCTGATGTCTTGATTAAGCTCAGTGGGTAGAAATGAGGATCAGGGATGTTATGTCTGTCCAAAATGAATGAGAAATAAGGATCAGGAATGCTACGTCTGTCCAAGTAAATGAGAAATAAGAGCAGGAATGTTACGTCTGGTCTTAATAGAAGAGTTTATTTAGCTTCAGTTATGAGCAATAAACAATATGTAAGATAAAACAAGCCGTGTTTAGGTCTTAAGTAATTGAAAACAATACTTGAAAAGTTAAGTCAAAAGTGGGAGGTAAAAATTCAATGTCTTTATTCAAATAAAAATAATGGAGTATTTATATCTTTCTGGTTATTTAATAATGTCTAAGATAATTCATGCTGCAGTTGCTGCGCAACGCCAATGCTGCGGTGACTTGCTGTTACTGCAGATGCTGCGGTAATGCTCTTATTCAACAAGCTGTTCATCGAATCTTTACAAGGTAAAGGGTTCGTTCTATTTATAGTTGTTCCTTTTGATAATTTGGAGGTGCAAGAGAGTTGTAGAGTTGCTGCAGTAGTTACGTATTGTATTCTGATTGCCGCTTGGTGTGTGGTTCTTTTGTATGTTTGGTTTATTTGTTATGGGTGGTTCTTGGGGTAACAGTGGCATAGATACTCATCTACTTCTTCTTACTCTGGATTACAAAAACATCTTCAAAAAGTATACAATTTGTGATTTTGTCTACTTTTTTCAATATTTTTTATGAGCTAAGTATAGATAGAAAGCATATTGGGATGACTAAGAAGCTGTATTCTCCTTTTCTTCACTTTTTTACTTTAAGCTCGCCAAATGGTGACTCAACACCCTTCTCTGATAAAGCCAAACCGATGAAGCTGTTGAAAGAGTATCGGAAGTCGCTACTCAATGCTTCCCCTACAGTAACGAACCTAGAAAGAGATGTCAAGGCGATGAAGAGAATGATCAAGCACGCTGTCTAACAATCAGCGAATCCCGTCGTCTTATTTCGTTATAGAGACCGGAGCAAGCCAGGGATCCATACAGCAGCACGCTTTGAGCGAGCAGTCACACTTTATACCAAGCGTGTAGCATCATCAAAAACATGATATCATGGGCAAAGATGGCAAAACTGAGACACGAAAACGACCATTTAGCTGGGAAATCTATCAGGAATTGATAATTCAGCATATAGCCGAACTTGACATTCCTCCTGTGACCGCAAATGACATGAAGGCCAGAAAAAAGCACATCAGATTCATCTATACTAGCGTGATATGCGAGTAGGCAGCACATAATCTCGATGCGTCCATCGAATGGTCTGACCCTATAGTCAAAGCGCATAGCAAGCAGCTTTACAAGAAACTGGAAGATGAAGTCGAGGAGATGTTCCCGTTTGACAAGTTCATCCGCCATTGGGGCACATGCTTAATGCTGTCTTAGCATTGGACGACCATCAAGGCAAAAGCGACAGATGGAGCTGCGTCAGCACCTTCTGATGATCAGCCTTCAGAGTCAAGCATGAGCAGTGAGAATGTTTCATAGATTGCAAGACCAATTTCTAATGCTTTTCATTAACAATTGTGAAAGAAATGTATTCGATGAAGTGTACCAGGTAGCCTACTAGTACAATTTTACTAAAGAGGAGTGAGACAAAGGCGATGCAAGTGCAATCGTAGCTGTAGATAGTGAAAGAGATGATGTAGATGCCGCTGATGATAACATAATGTACAGTAGCAGCGACGATGAAGATGACAACGACAGTGAAGTTGCCAGCAGCGATAATGAAGACTAAGTGGCCAGCAGTAATGACAATGATGAAGCTAGTGAGACCAACAGTGACACAGACGATGTCAGCACTACTATCCCGGACAATAGCTGACACTGGTTCGGACGATAGCAGCGATAATAAAAATATTCTGCTATCAAAGAAACTGGTGGCAAGAAACCAACGAATGATGACAGATATTGCCAGCAAAAGTATCTTAAGACAGTTTCTACACTGAAGAGAGATTTAGAGGAGGCATGAAGAAGGAATAAATCCATCTAGGAACCAAAAAGAAAAAAAAAAGAGTGAAGTTGTAAAATATAGCAGATACTGTTCTATAGAGAGTTGTTGTTGTTAGGCATATTAAGCGTTCTTTTGTAAATAAAAAAGCTTAAAAAAAATATCCTAAAGTATCAATATTGTTAGTAAAATAAATCTATGTTATGTCGCATACCACATACTGTAAGAATATATATATATATATATAATGTACTACAGTCTATAGATTCAGGTCGGATCCAAATCTCCAAAAAGTTCCAGTTTATACCGATTTATCTCTATAACGATTTATCTCCAAAAGTCTAAAATTTTAGAGGTAAGTCAGTCTGGAGATAAATCGGTATATACTGGAACTTTTTTGGGGATAATTTTCCCGTAGTGATATTTGCTGCAGATTCAAAAAAGATTTTCTACTCAAGCTGAAGTTCTTCGTTCATACAACCATCCCTCGCAAGTTCATTGAAACAACTGTCGACATTATGTCCGATGGCTTCTGTGGCTTCTGCACAATTGCACATCATGTACACGGCAATCAAGAGGCTTTTATGTTAGTCAAGTTACAGAAGCTGGAGTGCTTCAAGATAAACAAGGATATATATCAGCAGCAATATGTATTTATGCGTGAGAATTTACAGCTCATTGAAACATCATTGTCTTATGCACTTGATGCTCCATGATCCCCGGAAGTCGTGCCCATCCAATTATTGCTTTCTTGCGCCTGACTTTGCACAGATCGCTGCAGACACTTATCAATGGTCTGTTGCAATTTATCCAGACAATGATACGAAAAGGCCAGACTCTGACGAATGCGCTTATGAGCCATCTCTATTTTTGCCAATGCAACGTCCATCGTCTGACAACAAGAATCCTCTCCCCATCATTATGCAGCAACTCAATAACAATCATTAGGCTACCATCGATACAAAAGGACGCAGTATCATGATGGACTGGCCAATTATCAACTCGATGTGTATAAAGGCATACTGATCAATAGGTAATATTGATAACCTGCATAAAGCAAAGTGGCGTTAGAGTAATGATTCTACTACTTCCTGTATAGTAATTTCCTGTTTTCTCGAACACTACTGTCCTCTCTTTATTTTAATGTTATTTGGTATACTCTGGTATGAGTTAAATAGCGATGTTTGATCAGATTTACTCCTTACCTTAAGGAAACATTATATTTTCATCACTTTGATTTATGGCTATCCTATTATATAGTTTAGGAAATAGAAGAACAAAACACTTAGGTATACATAACCTTGCAGACACCCCCATAAGTATATATTTATGGGATGTGTGTAGCCTGATGAGGATTAAAAATAAAAGGGGGTGTCCGCAAGGGTCAGAGGGTGGTGGTGTCCGTATCAAAAGCCCCAAAGAAATATGCAACAAATTGCTTTATATCTGGCTTTACTTTGTAGATCACTGCTGCTAAGCATTTTATTGTCAATGAACAAGAGACTAGCTGAATGATGGTATGTATGCCCTTTGCAAGTGTGTAAATTCTCACAGTATATGACATCAAATCATTGTCTACTTCTGTCTAAATAGCACTCTGTTATTGTTGACGACCGTACTTTGTACAAAGTATACTTATGGCCATTCGCGCGGTCAGTGGAAGCTGGTGTGGGCACTGTTATGTGTTCCTATACCAGTATGAACGAGACCTATGCCTGCGAAAACGATTATGTATTTAATCACCTTCTAAAGGATGAGCTATCTTTCAAAGGATGGGTGCATAGCGATTGGTTAGCTACTCATTATACTACCAAAACCGCTAACAGTAGAATGAATATGACAATGTTAGATACTACACCCCTCATGCTATTCGGTGAGTAGACTTCCTAACTCCAGCTGTATTGCACTAAGCCTGGCAGATGGATTTACTTTGGCAGTGCATTGAAGAGAGGGTTTTATATTTTTTTTGCCCATCATTAATGATTATTTTTCGTAATATACGAATTTGGTAACACAAAAAGGTTTTTATGGAAGTAATAAGGAAAAGATGAGATAGGACAAAGCACGGCTGCATCGCGTAACATAGTGAGATGAATCACGACATAGTAATTGTGTTAGAATAATATGGGATAAGAAAAGGCATGGCAAATGTTTGCTAGGTTAAAACATAATGCCATCCATGCTATATTTTCAGCATAATTATAATTAAAAACATATTTACTCTATCTCATTATTGAACGAAGAAAATGCCAGCAAGATAAAAGTGTATTTTTTTTGAATATCAATAGAATTTATTATTATAAGGTAGTCGCCAAAATCATTGTCAACTTGGTTGATCATGCTTACTTGGTGGGTATGGACTGGAGCTGGTCATGGTTCATAATTGTATCGTATTATATAGTTGTATCATATGGCAAGCGCTGAGGCACTTTATTAGAAAAAGGTTATAAATAGCCACGCTATCACTAGCAATAAAAAGTATCTTTTAACAACCCTCTATCCTCTGATTATCGTTTGCTCTTATTCTTTCTCATTGGCTACAGATCCACCTACCAAAAAGCGACTCAACAATTGGTAGCAGAAGAATATGGTTGTATTAGGCAAAAAACAGCATTAAAAAAACTAAGCTGCAAACTTAGCGAAAACAGAATGGCAAATGAACCTACAGCAGCTATTCTCCAGGCATTAAGAAACCTGCTGGAGAACCAAAGCAGACAAGATGCAGCTCCAGTCTTTTGAGCTCACATATGTAAACTCGACACATATGATGGCGACTGCAGTCTAGATACTGTAATTGGTTGGGTATGCATGGTGGAACCGTACCTCGAGATGACGACACTACCAGAGCACCAATAGGTTGCTTATGCTACAACACTTTTATGTAGCGAAACAGAAACTTGGTGGAAACAGCAGGAACAAAGAGCAGACATCGACAATTGGAGAGGATTCAAGAAACGTCTCTTAGCCACTTTCAGCCTCCCCCCCCCAATCATCTCCAGCTGGTGCATGATCAATTGGCTACACTGGTGCAGTCGAGTACAGTGACATTAGATGTCTTACAGTTTCAAATGGCATAGTCATCGGTCCCTACGATGCTAGATGAAGAGGCCTTGGATCGTTCTCAGAATGGCCTGCATCTAGTCATTCAGTTGTAAATCATGACATGCCTCCTAACCTCTACCAATGAATCGATGTGTCTGGCATTGGCAGTTGAAGCCGCACAACAACAAAGCCAGACCATCCTGAATGAAACTACTAACTATGCAGCTGCACCGACCATACAGGCACACCCACAAGAACAATTAATGCACCAGCTATATGCACAACAACAACAGCATACCATGCCTGAGTATCTACGTTCGTATGGTGTGGTGCCTATAGATCTTGATGCGATGTGTATAAGGTCCCCTGAAGCATGTCAAGGATCTCGCCGTTGTGGTAGCAACTGGCGCCAATAAGGATCTCGATGTAACAACAATCAAAATGTGACACAGCAAAGTCCAGTATCGAGTGTGACAAATAGAACAGTAATAAGATTCGATGCCACCAATGCAAATGGTGAGTGCATTGGTGAAGTTGTCTATGGTGTTGTTGCTGCATTGTCAAATTAAAGTGTGAATGCCAGCATCAACTTGGATATTTGATTGAATAAAAGTTGCAGCAAATCTTGCTTGTTCTCAAAAAGGAGAACCTAGGGTGATAAATCCTCCTAAAAAGGAAAACCTCGCAGTGATAATTGATTTATAGCCACTCATTTTACTTAAGAAAACTCCTCTTACCGTACGATAAAATACATTATCGTAATATGGAGAAAGTAAACCGCAACTGGCAATACATACAGCTACTGCGACTCTACGTGTGTATAGTGTCTCATAAAAGGCGAAGGGCGAACAGTAAGATAATTCTGTTATGGGCCCCAGGATGCGCAATCTCAGATGGAATGCACAAACTTGATACAACTGATCGAGAAGCCATGCTAAATCTAGTAAAGTAGTACGTCATAGAGAAAAATGCATTGTGGGTAGCAAAGTAGAAGAACAAGTAATGACTCGCGTCATGGGCGGAGAAAGCAAGCTGCCGTCAGAAGAAGTAACAAAGGAAATGAGTGTATTTTTTCTTGTCCGATCATTTCTTTTCCAATTACGTCAAATTAAGCGATCGAATCAATAGTAAGGAATTTACAAATGAAGTACATCCAGATCATTCATTTATATGTTCGCACACATGATAAACAGTTGCCTTATGGATAAAATGGATGATATAGTTGTCATCACATATTCCACTAGCTGAAGCAGAATTCCTTTTTCAGGATGAGCTTATATGATATCATCATCGTTTTGCTTTGTCGGAAGAATTGAGTTGAGTAAACTACAAGTCGATGATATCATCTGTAAGGATCCATCCATCAGAAGTCCAATAAATGACATCAGCGGCATCATTTGAGAAATATATAAAGGCGTTTATTTTTGAAGCATCGATCCTTGTATCTACCGTACACTTAACATACTACTCTACCTCAAAACTCTGTTGCCTTCCTACATTTCAATCATGGTTTATCAAATTGGTTCTTCTTCCCGCGATGTCTGTGCTGCTCTTCATGATGGGGTAAATATCACTATGCAATTGGTTTGTGTTGTGTCGTGTTATGTCGTGTTGTGGTGAACTCTATTGCAAATCTCAAACATGTATTGATCTCTATAATATTTTTCTATTAAGGCACAAGAAACTCTTATCCAAACCCCAACCTTTTCTCGTGTGCCTTCCGCCATGTCAGTTGATACTATATCGCTTACTGATGAAGACATTGATGGCAGCGGTGCCAACTCTGATTCCGAGTCTATTTCTGTATCAGTTAACCAATCGCAAGGCAAGGGATCCAGTTGGGTATTTAAGTATAGCTTCGGTAAGCGCTATGATGACAAGGACGGTAAGCTGCGCATCTGTTGCCTTAGTGGGAAATTGCACCAAAACTTTCGCTGCCGAGTAAAGCAATATGTCCGGATTGATTAAGCATTTGAACAAGGTCCATAGTATCACTAGGGAGTGCGGCCCCCACACCAGAAGCAAGTGTTCTTATGGTCCCCTTGATTCCTTTGTCTAGACGAAGCGTGCCCGTGTATTCACACCCGAGCAATTTCTGAAGGCCTTCGTCAGGTTCATCGTAAAAAGCAAACTGCCATTTACCTTGGCTGAGAACAACGATTTGCAGGAACTTTTGGAGATTGCACAATCTGCATCTGCCACGAAAATGGTGCAGCTCCCAAGTGCTGATACAATTGCGAATAAGGTAAATATTAGATACATTTTTTCCATGCACAATACAGACAAAAAATTATATTTTTAATGCCCCATTTATTACCTTTAGACCAAAGAGGAGTACGGCCTGTACAAAACTAAGTTACGCACCATATTGAACAAGATTCCTGCAATTTCATGCACACTTAATGGTTGGACCAGCCCCTACAATGATGCTTTCCTTTCTGTTACTGGCCACTGGATTTCCCCATCGACTTGGACCATGCATGAAGTCATCCTCAGCTTTGTACCACTGGAGGGGCCCCATTCAGCAGAAAATCTTGCCAATGCTTTTATCCGTGTCTTGAATGAGTTCGGTCTAGGGCCCAAACTATTTACTATCACGACGGATAATGCTTCAAATATGAAGAAGATGGCTCAGATCGTTGAGTACCACGCTGTTGACAGTGGATGGTAAGTATTGAGAGTATAAATGCGAATTTGAAATATTTAGCAATATCGGTTCATGAGCTTATACAATACCATCTGTATTAGGTCATTCCATGCAGACCAGCACCATATCCCATGCCTTGGCCATGTGCTGAACTTGGCGGTCCAAGACATCCTACGTTGGGGCCTAGGTCCAACGTTGTGCGACAATACTGGTGATAGTGATGCCGAGGACGAAAGTGACGAAGTTGATGTCAATGCAACCTTCGAGGTAAACGCAGAATGCGCTTTGGAGGAGCAAGAGATCGAAGCAATGAATGTGCTAGTCAAGCTACGAAAAGGAATCAAAAACATTCGGTAAGTGATTACTATCATTAAATACATATTCCCTACTCGATGGTATCATTGGCACCATTTACTCATTATACCTTTGATTTTACATAGTTCTTCGCCTCAGCACATGGAGCAGTTCATGCGCCAACAAAACTTGGATTGCTCCACTCAGCTCACCCTCCATTGCGACATGGCCACCTGCTAGAATTCGACATATGACATACTTGACTGTGCAGCCTTACTACGTGTACCATATAACGTACTTTGCTCGAATAGCACCAACGATGAGTTATTACCGTTCAAGCTCACAACGAAGAATGGAAGTATATCGACCACCTGAAGGAAATCTTGGTGCCCTTCTATAAGTCGACCAAAGCCTTATCTGCCAGTATGAGCCACCCTAGCATCAACACCGCGATTGTCTATTATAACAAGTTGATGGATACTTTAGAGGACATTGTCAGCGATGGTTATTCACCAGAATTAAAACATGTGGCCAGATGTGGCCTCGACAAGTTGCAAAGGTACTATTGCAAGGTAGACGATATAGATGTATACACAGTTGCGACGGCATTGGATCTGCAGATGAAGTTTTCTTGGTGGTGCCAAGTAGGGTGGGAAGACAAATACCAAGTTTGGAGCCAGCGGATGGTGCATAAGGCCTGGGCAGCATTCCCCAAATGTGCTGCTATGAGGCCTGAAGTGAATGACGAGATGCAAAGCTTGTACAGCCTATATATGACGTCCACGGCTGGTGACGAATTAGAGGATTACTTGGACAAGCGATTAAGAAGACCGGTACCAAACCAGAAAGGACAAGAACCACTGGTCCTTTTATACTAGAAATCTCAGCCCCAGTGGCCAAACATGGCTGCAATGGCTGCAAAATATTTGGCAGTCCCAGTCACTTCCACACCATCGGAACGTTGCTTTTCCCAAACTCGACTTCTCCTGCTATACACACAAAACCGCCTCTAACTGCATACCATCGAAATACTAATGCTTTTGGATTTGTGGTGCTCCTTTGACTTTCACGATTAAAACGTTTCCATCTCTTCGTTCCTATATCTCCTTTCTATACCTCTTTTTTGTACCTCTTTTCCCTAGTTCTTTTTCTCTTCTCTTCTTTACTATTTTTCCCTCCCTTCTGCTTTTGTAGGTTTTATTAAGTTCTTACAAAAAGTATAGCTTGCAAATACACTACTTCTTGGTTTTTACGGAATAACATTGTTCGTCACTTCCATTATAGCCTACTTTATACTAATTACCAAAATCACTAAATGCAATCTTCTGCCTCTCGGTTCTTTGGTTCTATGTATATAAAACTGGTTCAGTTCCAGTTCGGTTCTTGGTAGGAACCAAGCCATATTTTCTCAGTTTCAGTTCGGTTCGGTTCCAGTTCTACAGTTCTGATACGAATCCCTACTTAGGAGCAGTAATGTCTCTATATTATCCAGACACAAATAAATATTACAGTGCATGCTTCTATAAAGGTTGGATAGTGTAAGATAATGGTTCACTACTAGATAATACAAAGTTAAAAAGAGAGGGGTAATATATATATTCTATAATTCTATGATTTGTTATGGTATGAGATAGGGCAGTGATGTTACTGTTACAATGACTTATTTGGCTGGGTTCTATATTGGCTTGGTCTGGCTTTCAAGTCACACTAAACTCATCACAGCAGTGAACACTATGCACAATTTCTGACTCAGTGCAATATGAATACAAGTGAATGTGCCTTGTTTTAGTGCAATTGTGCCTCGAGTTTAGCGCATCGATGTCTGTGCGCATACATTACTACTCACCGCCAAGTAGTTATTGGACGGTTTGTATACTGACATAAGAGCGTTTATTTTTACACCGAAACACTGACCATTGTAAAAAACAACTATGCTTTTAAATGAGTTTCACTTTTGTGACAATCAAAAACAAGTAAATTTGAATTATTTTTGTCCCCGTTAATTTCACTTTTAGTCTACAAACAATTACACTGTTTAAAATATTGTGCAGTTGCTACTATTATTCATTTTTAAGTACAAATCAGAATTTTTTTCAATATTTTTTTAAAATATTGTAAAAGTTACAGAAATACATTTATTTTTGCAACCGCCACAATTTAAAACGCGGTTTTTGTCACAAAAATAACTATTACATATTTATAAATTAAAGTTTAGCAATTCATGCAAAGCCGCCTACATTTCGTACGACCGACGTCTGCGCGCCCATTTAAAAAAATTTTTTGCGCGCGCGTTTACTTGTAAAGCGACGTCCCACCGCTCACTTTTAAACTTTCCATGCATTGACGGCTACTTAGAAGCGACGTCCCACCGCTCACTCTTAAGCTTTCCATGCATTGACGGCTACTTAAAAGCGACGTCCATCAGCCTAGGCTATAACTTTCCATGCAATGACGCCTACTTAAAATCTCAACCAATCTCCCTGAGCTACTATAGTAATGAGAATCG